TATATCAGTTATCTTTTGCTATATAACAGACTATCCCAAAACTTACTAACTTGAAACCACAAGCATTTATTTCACTCCCAATTCTGCAGGTCGGTTGGGCATTCCTCCTGGCCAGGACCTGGCTGGCTGTTCTCTGCAGCATCCACATATGTGTCTACAAACAGCTGACACATTGGCTGGCTGCTGTATAATCAAGGCTGGCCTCCTCCAAATGCCTGGCAATGGGCATGCAATTGGTTGGATGACAGAAACAACTGAGCTGTGTTTTTCGTCACATAGGACCTGTTGGCCCTGTCTTCTTCCCATGGCAAGTGCAGTGTTTAAACAAGTAGCAAGAGAGTAAACCACACACACAATGGGAACACGTTTGAAGTTTCTGTTGTGCCCTATTTGCTATTGTCCTGTTGGCCCAAACCAGTCATGTGGCCACATCCAGAGTCAATGAGGGAGGGGGTGGTTACCCAAGGACACGGTTACAGGGAGGCATGAGCCAAGTGGGAGTATTTTTGAACAAGCTACTAAAGAGGAAACTGAGACCAAAGAGAATACCAGGTAACAGGCTGTCAATACCTGAAGGAAATGAAATAGCACTCTGAATTAGGACAGATGAAGATATAAAGACTGGAGTGACTGATTCTTGGGAATAAAACTCATGATCCTTAAGAATGGGTGTGGACTTTACACAGGAAAACAGCCTTTGAGAAGCATAATAAGGAACATCCTATTGGGGTTTGGTCTGCAAAGAAATTGAATAAAAGTTTGAATCCTTTGGGATCAGGGTATTTCTTAGCCAGGAAGGAGGGCCTTCTGGGAGTGAAGATGAAGAAAGTGATTATAAAGAAGGTAAGAGATGGTCAGTGGCAGTGGTCCTGTTGATCAATAAATTCTAGTCTCAGGTTCCTGAAGGGGAAATGCCTTTAAATAGTCCCAATCCATGTCTACTTACCCAACCCCAATGGAGAATAGAGTGAGGAATATCTGGAAGACCTTTTTATGTGAGAAAATAATTTATAAATTTTATTCTTTCATTCATTTTTATTTTTATTCAAGTATTTATAGAACTTTACCTAGAGTCCCCAGTTTTCCTCTCTGGCTTGCTAGAAAAATCTTGCACAGACTCAGATTCCCAAGAGTCTATGATGAGCTGAAAGGCCCATTTGCTTTTCTTTGTCTAGAGTGCTTTTATTTGCTCTTTAAATATAAATTTCCCTACAGATTGTGGGCTGATTTCTGTGGCTCTGGTAGCACCACACATTCATCAAACTCTATGCAAAATCTTCAATACCATAACCCAGGACGAATCTACAGACCACCTTAAGCCTTTCACAGAAGACCTACTAGCATGTTGGTTGTTTAGCTGGCCCTCCAGTACCGCATCATACACATGCCCTTACAGAAAGGAGGCCTGGACATTTACCCATGAGATACAGGTGTGCTGTTTCTTAGGGACACATGCACCCCCATGTTTATAGCAGCACTATCAACAATAGCCAAAGTATGGAAAGAGCCCAAATGTCCGTTGATGGATGAATGGATAAAGAAGAGGTGGTATATATATATGTATACACACACACACACACACACACACACACAATGGAGTATTACTCGGCAATCAAAAAGCATGAAATCTTGCCATTTGCAACTACGTGGATGCAACTGGAGGGTATTATGCTAAGTGAAATTAGAGAAAGACAAAAATCATATGACTTCACTCATATGAGGACAAGAGACAAAACAGATGAACATAAGGGAAGGGAAACATAAATAATATAAAAACAGGAAGGGGGACAAAACAGAAAAGACTCACAAATATGGAGAACAAACAGGGTTACTGGAGGGATTGTGGGAGGGGGGATGGGCTAAATGGGTAAGGGCATTAAGGAATCTACTCCTGAAATCATTGTTTCACTATATGCTAATTTGGATGTAAATTTTAAAAAATAAAGAAGAAAATTAAAAAAAAAAAAAGAGGAGGCCTGGAAGAATTTAATAATCATATGTTGAGATTGCTTGAGAATGTACTGGCCATTCATGGAGGATTGGCATGACAATATGGACAGTGAATGAGTCAGGTTTACCTATTATAGGGGATAAGAGAAGACTTCCATTTCCTTAAAAAATGGTTGTGGACAGAACATCTGCTCTTCCAAGCTCCTCCAATTCTTACCCAAGAATTTCCAAGCAAGTTTCCAGTTAATGTTTAAAAGGTAACATTAAAAAGGTAGGGATACAGAGAGTTTATTCCTAAGCCTACAGAAATTTCTGAAGAAAGATCCCAAGCACAAAGGCAAAACTACAGATAGATCCTTGGGCTTCAGAGAAATGAACAGATGGTTGAATTGCCTCAAGTTGAATTTCAAATTCCTCTTCCAAACTGGCAGGTAGAAACAACTTTGAGCTCTTGGCATTTCCAAGTTCAGGTTCCAGCTTCAAATATATATTAGTGAGGACCAAGAATTACTTGTTTACACAAAGGATCCACAAGGAACAAGACTTTGTGCCTTCACTTTTCTACCACCCTTATTGTGTACATTCTTTCTTCTTTACAGAAGACACCATAGAACTGAGGAGTCCAACAAGGTTGAGCATGAAGACAAATTACTAAGTCTCGATAAAAGGAGGTAAATACATCTTGCCAATGGAAACATTCTTGGAAATTCACTTAGCCCCATGTTATTATCTCCTCTCACAATGTCCTTTAGGTGAATTTTCCAAGGTAAAATCTTATAACTGCTCAATAATATCTTTATAGAAAACAAAAATCTTGCCCACTTAGTCAAAACCAAAGAGAAAGATCAGGCTGTCTCTGAGAGAAGATGTCACGTGGACTGTGGGTTTGTACCCAAATGACTTCTGGATGTAGGGTAGGGGGATATTGCACACTCTAAACTGTTGGTGGATGTACTGGGAGCCCTGACTTCCCAAACATACGAAGGAAATGACTGGAGGAGACAAAATCAATTCAGAGAACATTGTGAAAGAAAGTGGAAGAACCAGACTGTCTCCCAGAATTAGAGAAAATGGCCCAGATTCTCAAGTATATTATGCGTTCCAGCCATTATTTCAGGAAGGAGAGGTAGGACAAGAGTGGATTCTTCAGATTATCCACCAATGAAAGCAGGGCTTCATGGACAAGTGAAGAAAGGCTGTCACCTCTGGTTATATTAAAAACACTGAGGCAAAGCAATCCAAGTTGGAACTTCAAAAGCTTTCATTCATCCTTGAAATATCTACTGAGCAAGGCGCTGTGGAAAATTAAGACCAACCAGACATAAATTCTGTGCTTGTCAAGATTATGGTGTACCAAAGTAAAAATAACTTGTTAGAAAGTTAACACATGCCACAAGTGGAAGAAATAACATGAATCTGGAAGAATGCGGGTTTATTTCCAGCTGGAAATTACTTCTTAGTTGGCTTTTGTGGAACAGTAGACATGCAGAAGTACAGAAGGAAAACCGAGGGAAGAAACATCATGGACAAAGCCTCAGAAATGGAAAACCTCCAGACTCTTAGAACAGCTGGTAGTTTGATTTAGCAGAGGGGAAAGTTGGATGTAACCCATGGGGACTTCCCCCAAATGGGAGATAAAGCACGTCTTCTCCAGCTTGTCTGTGGTTAAAACATTCCAAACACATAGAAACTATGGATCAATATAGTAGCCAAGAGCAAAAATCTTTCTAAATTTGGAGAACTTCAAGATGTCTGATCTACATACTGAATCCTCCCTGCAATTAAGAAGCTTAAATGATTATCTTCTACACGAATTCTCAACCTCAGCACTACTGACATTTTGGGCTAGATAATTCTTCGTTTGGGGGGGGGTGCTATCCTACACACTATAGGATGTTTATGCAGCATCTGTGGCCTCTACTTACTAAAAGTCAGTAGCACCCCACCCCAACACCAGGCGTAACAATAAACAGTATCTGCAGACATTCCCAATGTCCCCTGGGAAACAAAACTTGCCCCTGTTGAGAACCACTGGTCTACCCTCGGTCTGTGTGTCAGATGATTGTTCTCCTTGCAGAGGTAGAACTAAGGTAAGAGCTGAACAAGCCCTTGTGTCTGTTTTCTTACAGAAGCATGAAGCATATGTCAGTTACAAAATATAGGTAGGACTTCTTATAACTCTATCCATTGGTATAAGTAAATAAAAACCCAAAATAGAATCAGAAACTCTCATAAACTAGGATTTCTAACCAACTCTTCCTGGCCCAACATACTAAAGCCTTTCACATGAACGTAGATAGCTATTATACCCTCCACACATACTGACGTTGGCAAGAGATGGACTCCTGACTGTCGTGTATTTAACATTCATAATATTGCTGTAGCTACAGAAACTCTTGTGAAATAGTTTTAAAAATTGTGAAAGACAATTTGTAGTTATGATGGTGGAAATTAAGAGAAAATATTGATATGTAAGAAAGTGGTTCTCAGCGACAAAAAGACTTATGAAACAAAAATGACTAAAACACTAAATTTGATGCATGCCTTTACTCAGGAATTGTTTCTGGTGAGATGTGACAGCTTCTTTCTTTCACATTTTTTATTTAATTTTAAAGGGAATGAGGGTGATCCTATAAAAGTACCTATTACTTTACCTTTAAAAGATTTTAAGGTGGACCTTTAAGGTTTTAGGTAAGGTAAAATCCTTTAAAAGAATTTTAAACGGACTCTTTCACTTAGTATGTTCACTATAAGGAATAAATGTCAAAGTAAGTATCTAAAGTCTAATGTCACATACTTGATGCTATAAGGAGAAATAAGACCATTATAGTGGTAGGTGAGCTCCTTCCTGTAGACTTTCAACAGTACCTTTAAAAGAGTTGAAAGCAATTAAGCAATTCTGGTTAGAATTTTACTGCCTGTTAACAATATATTTCTTACCCACAAAATTTAGTAGGCAGGCATGGTCTTTTGAAGGAGTCATAGAAAAAAAAAATTACCAAGTCCATTGATAACAACTTGGTGGTAACATTCTCTTTTTTATTTCAAAGGTGTTCTTGAATGGCCATTTTGGACAAAACTGGTTGTGGTGGCCATTGGCTTCACGGGAGGTCTTGTCTTCATGTACGTACAGTGTAAAGTCTACGTTCAGTTATGGCGCAGGCTGAAGGCCTACAACCGTGTGATCTTTGTGCAAAATTGCCCAGACACTGCCAAAAAGCAGGAGAAGAATTTCTCGTGTAACATAAACACGGACATCAAAGATGCTGTGGTGGTGCCTGTATCACAAACAGGTACAAATTCACTGCCATCTGCAGAGGGAGGCCCCCCTGAGGTCATCCCGGTGTGACACAAACAGTTGGGAGTTTCTTCACTGAAGGGTATCTTTCTAGCCCTTAGCCACTACAAATGACAGAAGTGATCCTGAATTATTCACTCCTTTATCTTCTCCTTTCTCCTACTGACTCATTCTTCCTTACTTTGCTCAAAAAAGGAAAGGACCAAAAGGCACCGATGACCAGGATCCCATGAAGCAGTCCAAAGTGTGATACAGAAATGTGAAAAATTTGCTAGAGGTGATTTCTAAGACAATTAAGAACCAATGGAGCGAGGGATGCTTTCAGGCAATGACGAAAGACAACATGGACACATGCATCTTCACGATAGCAGGACAAAGTTTAAGAATACAGACTTGAATTGCAATGTGTATTTCTTCTAAGGCCTTGTAATGTTAACTCTCTCATCCAGAAATAAGAAACATACTTGGTTTTAAGCTTGAAATTGTCTACGTTATCCTTACGTCATATCAGAAGCAAACTTGGAGGATGCATATTTTGATATTTATACTTTGGACGGCTAACAGATTTTTATGGCTATAGTGGAGTCCAGTTGTTTTAACAGATGCATGTTTTTAAAATAGATGCAATACACATTTGAAGAGATCAATACTTAGAATTATGTTTAAGTCATGAGCAAAAGATTTTCAGAGTTTTTTGGGTGTAATTAGCACTGTTAATACCTACAGAAGTTGAAATCAACTAACAGGCTCTATATTTTATCTCGTCCCTCTTAAGACAGTGTTGTCCAACAGATATATAACGTGAGCCACAAACGCAGGACATGTCATATGCATACATTTTAAACTTTCTAGCAGCCCCATTAGAAAAGTAAAACTAAATGAAATGTTTATATTTAACACTATATATCATTTCAACATGTCATCAGTATTAAAAGAGATATTTTACATCTTTTTCTTACGAACCAAGTCTTCAAAATCCAGTATGTATTTTGTCTTTACAACATATCTTCATTTGAATTAACTGTACTGGATAGCACAGCCCTAAAATTAGAGGCAGGACCTCTGCTTCATCGAACAGTTGAATATTTAAAAACAGCTCAATTCATTCTTTTATTCAGAGTCTCTCAAATATTACAGTTTTATTAAGCACTTACATTCATCAAATTAAACATCCTGAGTTAGGTGAACTTACCATTTCTCTAAAAGGTAAAAAAAAAAAAAAAAAAAAAAGGGAAGGATGAAATGATCTGTGGCAAAGTTCTGAAATTAGCTTGTTTGCTACTATGAAGCACAGATGATAGGGAAACAGAAATTAAATATTTTTCTTAGGTCAAATGTGTAAGTTTTTTTTTTTTTTTAATCCACATGTGGTATCAACTTGACAGAGGAGTAGTTATGACTAAACATTTAGACTCTGTTTGAAAAAGCTGACAGCATTTCCCTGCTCAGCTGGGAAGTAAAGATACTGAATAGATTTTGTGATAAGTAATAAACTGAGTTGTTGAGGTTTGATGTGCAGCTGATTATCGTGCTCCTTGCATATTCATGTAAAACTGAAGCGTGGATGATAGATTCTGCAGTGAGCTAGATTAATGATTATAGATGTAGTGACCTGTCAAAGAAAGAGGTTCTACATTTTAAAAGGTGATTTATTTTTGTTAGCTGTCATATTTATTATTGTGAAAAGGCAACTGTGATGGCCATAAGGACCAAAGCATGGGTATCGCATTGCACAAACCTGGGTATCACATCGATGCACTTTGTAATTATCAGTGTGCTTGTTCTTCACGGATTATCATATAAGAAAGGAAAAGGAAATAACCTTTTAATGAGGAGAAAGATATGAATATTAGTAGTGGCTGACACTTAGTCCAAATAGTCCCAATTCCTAGAAATAAAGAAAAGGTAAACAATGTCGTGTGTGTGTGTGTGTGTGTGTGTGGTGTGTGTGTGTGATTTCATGTATGTACATGAGAAAAGTGGTAAGGTTTTTGGTCAGTCAGGAAAACAAAAGGTTTAAAACATCTTTCTTAAAACTTGTTACGGAGGGTATGGAATAAAGGCACAGGGAAGACCCAGTTGAAGTTAACGAAAGTGTACCAAAATTTCTGCACAAATAAGGGCAAAAGTGGTGTAATAAAAAATTAATGAACTTTAAACAGACTAAAATTTGTATTAACTTCCTCTTAAATTTCTATTTTAAAGTTTTAAGATAAATACTCATGAATAGAAGCTTTGGGTGATTTAACCATGGCATATCACCCAATAGATTAACCTTGATTCAATTTTTCTGTTAATTGCCCTAAGCTTTTTACTAATCCATTTCTCCAGGAGTTTAGCAATGGGAACAAGTTGTTTACATATATTCCCTGGGGGGGTGGGGAAGGAAGTGGGAGGGAATCTGTCACCCGCAAGCAATGAAATGTTATCTCTTTTGTCTGCTCTGGAAGGAAAATGATTATTTACTTTACCACCAAAAATACTATTTAAATTCTGTACAGATCTAAAGATTGGTAAATGCATAGCTCATTTCTCAATGGGAGAGGACTGGCTAATAGGCCTTGTTTATTAAGGGTCACACCTAACACTAAGAAAATATTTCTAGAATGAAAAGATCAGCATTACTGTCTTAACAAGAAAATACGACATAGTGTTTTAAGATCATACCTAAATTCTCAAAATTAACTTACAAAAGCCTTGACTTTCTTGTAATGAGAATATAATAATACATATAGCTCCCTAGAGGGTGAACAGTCAGCTTTTTATTCTGCTATTACTCTTCTGAACTTCATATATAAACCCTGAACTCCCGAATTTAAATCTTTTACAAAGTTTTCCTATAATGGCTGTTTATAGTTCAAACAATCTGAAATAATTACATGCATTCAAAACCTAATGTTGATTTCCTTTCATATTTTGTGTGGCAACTGCCCTTTCAGTGAAAGGACTTGGCTTTGTGACAATACTGTTGTGGACTGGATATACCCTTCAAAAACTACTCTCCAGGCTGACAGTTTTTTTGAAGCATGTTTTCCTGCTCATGTAAAAAAATGGAATTGAAACAAAGGACTGAAATTGAAGAATGGCAACACAATTCTGTTAAAAATCTTGGCTTTTTATAATCATGCATTTGGTAGTATCAATACCATAAACTACAGACATTTACGCTGTTAATTTTTAAAAGAACTCTCACTTTCATTGTATCAAAGATTGAATTGTAAAGCAATGAAATTCCAGTTATTTTTTTAAAGAGTGAAGTCCAAAAGGCAATTAAGCTTGAGAACAAACACAAGTAAAACAAAAATGAAAAAAATCCAAAAATGATCCCATCAACCTGGGATATAGCAGTGGAGACACTGAAGATAGGTGTATATTGAAGAAGTGTTTTAAAATATCCCCAGCTTGAATCTCACTCTGAGCTGCTATTACATATGATTATTGCCCCAGAGATAGCCTCGTTTATTTTGTTTTGCAAAAGGTCCCTGGGTACCCCTAAAACATCTATTGTTTGGCTGGAAAATTAGCTCATTAGAGCAATGACATCATTAAGAGACTGTAATTGCCAAGGGGGTGTGGTGGGGAAGATTATTCCATTTGACTGACAGTTTACCTTTCCTTACCTTGCCAATGAATATTTCGGAACAAAGTAGAGCTCTTTAAACTTATTATTCATTATTGTAGTTGTTATATAATAATTGTGAAAGACTTACACTTTAATTAAGAAAGATAAAAACCTTTTTTTTCTTAAGTCAGCCCAAAGGTGCTATTTTACATATCAATACAGCTGAAAGGAAGTGCTGTTATTTTGGGCTGCAATGTTTCCTCCAAATCTGAAGCCCATTTTGAAATTGGATATCACATTTAAAACAAACGAGGAAAAATTATTTTAACTGTGTGCAATTTTTGAGATTGAGCATTTGTACTTTTTTGGTTTTACCTAATTCTCTTGCATTAACAACTTACTGTTTTGTGAATAATGTGTACTGAGATGAATTAAGGAAAAGAAAATAATTATCTGTGAAAGAAAGACTTTGTATATTAAACAAGTGACCTAAATTTTTGTTGTGGTTTCTGTACTCTTTGCCTAATTTACCAGGATTTCTGCAGGTTTATATCTGCGACATTCAAAAAATCTTGAGTTCTTAAGATTTGATAACAGTCTGGATGTTTAAGCAGCTTCTGAACAGATTCATAGTTACTTTAAAGCCAACACAGGCAGATTCACCCTGACATTACAGAAGGGAATAAAGAGGTGCATTAACAAGGGAAAACCAATAGAAATAATCTAAAGAGATTTTCAAAACCTGTTAAAAAAACAAACAAAAAAACAAAACAGCAAAACCCTAGAGGAAAAATCGTAATGTAAAGAAAGGACTGTCTCATAAATAAGGCTTGGATATACCAAAGAATTTAACAGCATTTGTCTATTCAGACATAATAAAATAGTAAATTTAGATAATTTCATACATACTAAATAATAGGAGAAAGACTGTGCAATCAATTTCTAATCTATGATGTTTGCTGGTAAGAGAAGAAAATGTCTCTCTCCAAAGCTCCAACTTCTAAACCTGAATTCAGGGTAAACCCACTGCCTAGCCCAAGGCCACCTCCAGGTCATTCTGGTAGACTAATTGTATGTGCTCATTCTGCCTCATTGGATATCCAAACTTACAGTTTTCTCACACCTCCTGAATTACAGCAAATATTCCTGGATCATAAGTCATTGTCACTGTGTGTTCAGCTAATGATCCTAAAACTGGGAGATGTGATAGAGATACCAAAGGAAGCAAGAGAATGGGAAGAAATACTTGGAACTCGGGGAAAGGGCAATGCAGGCAATGGGAACAACAACCAAAGTCCCGAGTGGTTGTCAAGCAAGATTCAGCTACCGTAGAAACAGCAAGTCCTTGTTAGGGTCACAAAGTTTATTATTTACAGTGATAGCAGAAGAAAGACAAACCACCAGTAGCCCCATGAGTCCTGTCCCAAGAAAAGACACAAAAAGAGGGGGCATGAGACATGAAAGAGGACACTATAATGCAACAGAAGGGGTGGGGCACCTTGTTGCTGAGATACTAATTCCATGTTGTAGCTAAGCAACTTTGTGGCCTGCAGCTATGCCCTAAAGGGACTCAAAATGGAAAGTCTCATACTTCATCAAAATCTGGAGGCAAGGACAACTGTCTCACGTCTTCTCTGGGAGACAGGGAGGCATACATGAAGTGGCCCATGATAGTTCCTCACATGCCCCAAATCCTTGTGTTCCAGGAAGATCATGGGCCATCATGGCTCAGGTTAGCCTGAACCTAGCCTGGCCTAAATGGATAAACACAAGGTCTTCAGGGTGCCAGCAGAGTTGTTCCACAATAGAAAACAGTTTGGCCATTCTAGGAATAGACAGAAGCTGTCTGTGTACCTGCAGTACAATAAGCCAAGGGCAAGTGGAAACAAGTACAGGTTGGAGAAGCAGTTAGGAATCAAATTATTTCAGGCCTCTTTGGCCATGGTAGGTCATGTGAATTTCACCCCAAATATAATGGATGTCAATGTAGGTTCAGCAGTTGTAACAAATATAGCACTCTGGTAGGGGGTGTCGATAATGGGGGAAGGTGTGCATGTGTGGGGGCAGAGCAGATAATCTCTTCACCTTCCCCTCAATTTTGATGTGAACTTAAAACTGTTCTGAAAAAATAAGTGTTTAGAAACAAAATTATACCCATCAAATAAACATACCATTAAGAAATGACAGAATGATACTATAACAAGATGAACAGAGGAGTAGCATATTGTAGTGTACATTTTCAAAAATTCATCAGCAACTCCAGAGAATGGATTATGAAGAACAAGAATGGTGGCATGAAGGCCAGTGAGGAAGTGACAGGTAAGGGCAAAGAGTGGAGATGGCCGGACATGGACTGATTTGACTTTCTGAAAACAGAACTACAAATACTGACTAATTAAATTTAATTGGGAGGGTATGGAAGAGAGAAAGTGAAGAATCAAAGATGATTTACAAGCAGTTTTCAGAAATTAGGTGAAAAACTTGGGAGAGATTCAAGGTTCCTGATGAGAGAACAGGGATTGGGATCCAGGACACAAATAGGAGTATTTGCCATTGAAAGGAGAAAAGCTGCTACATCCATAAAATGGAAAGGGAAGGAAGGGGAGGGAGACGGAAAGGGGAGAGCAGTTTCATTGTCCAACGATGTATATAAACTGAAAGTTGGTTGAGGAGGCAAATATTAAAGCTAAGCTAGAACATGAAAAAGTAGTGAGGGGCGCCTGGGTGGCTCAGTCGGCTAAGTGTCTGACTTCGGCTGGTTATGATCTCATGGTTGGTGGGTTTGGAGCCCCGTGTCAGGCTCTGTGCTGACAGCTCAGAGCCTGGAGCCTGCTTCGGATTCTGTGTCTCCCTCTCTCAATGCCTCTCTCCTGCTTGGGCTCTGTCTCTCTCTCAGAAATAAACAAACATCAAAAAAAAATTTTTTTAAGTAGTGAAAATTATCTAAATGTTGGAAAAATGAACTTATTACAGGTACACAGTAAAACTGCTAAGCAGTATTGAGAACCCACTTGAGATGTACAAACATGAATGGAAAAACCCGATACTCTCCACAAATGCTGAGCTACTTGGGAACAACAGGTACAAAGGAGACAGATAACCTGGTGTGCTCCTCTGAGTTTTGAAAGACGAATACTATGCAGTCAGGAGCAGAGGGATGGCGAGCATGTGACAGGAGGCAACTCTAAAACCCGAATCTAAACAAAACATAAAAGAATCTGAAAACAGGAGACAGGTGGTGCACAATGAAAGAATGAGGTCAAAGTACAGAACTTCAGCAGTGGAGGGGGATAGGAGATAGTGAATGGAGCACAGAATAGTCGAATTTTATGGGAGTTTCAGGAGCTAGTAAGTATCTGGGTGTGGCCACTGAGAAGTGTCTGAATGGAGTGGAGAAAAGGGTCACAATTTTAGATTTGTTATCCACAAGGTCCTGGATTCACTGAAATGATTAAAATAAGGGAGAAGAAAACTAAGCCAAGTAAAGTCTTCAATGAATGAGAAGGTTCTTCTGGGAGGTGAGATAATAAGGAAAGGGTGACAGTGATAGAACTTCAAAGAACAGAGAAGTGGCAGTGGCAATAGAGCAAAGAGGACACCTGTCTAATCTCCTGCTCCTGAAACACAGGGATAGAAGAATAGTAAAAGCTCCTATTTGAGGTGACAGAGTCCTAAGGAGACACCTATGTCGGTGAGGAAAAGAAGTGACTAGGATATCTGGAAAGAGACCACTGTCAGAGTTGACGGCTCTGAGCTTAGAGAGGTACCATTAGCTCATATCCGTGGAAGTTCCGCTTGTTGTTGACAAACTATGGCAAGCAGGAAAAATCCAGCCTATTTTGTGTATGGCCACAACTAAGAATGAGCTTTACCTTTTTAAGGGTAGTAAAACATACACACACACACACACACAGATATGCAAAAAGAAACTGCATTTGGGCTGCAACACCTAAAATATTTACTATCTGGGTCTTTACAAAAAAAAAAAAAAAAAAAAAATTCACCACCCCTGGTTTACAAAGAACTGCCAGTGAGTTCTCTTCCAAGGCCATGGACTGCAGAAGCCATCTTGCAAAGACAATCTACTGACCGAAAGGAAGGAGCCTACATAAGGCAGCACAAGTTATCCCTGCAGGAAAAAAACGTGTTCTATAGATAATGATTAGGGATATCACTTAAAAGCAATACTGTAACAACAAATTATCTCTTAGGCTACTTTGGTCCAGCCAGGAGTAACAGGTAATTATTTATAATGATATATAATAAAATTATGAATTATAATTACTATCCTAAATGATAAAGTAAATTCTTCCATTCAACAAATACCTACCTGGGGCGCCTGGGTGGTGCAGTCGGTTAAGCGTCCGACTTCAGCCAGGTCACGATCTCGCGGTCCGTGAGTTCGAGCCCCGCGTCGGGCTCTGGGCTGATGGCTCAGAGCCTGGAGCCTGTTTTCCGATTCTGTGTCTCCCTCTCCCTCTGCCCCTCCCCCGTTCATGCTCTGTCTCTCTCTGTCCCTAAAATAAATAAACGTTGAAAAAAAAAAATTAAAAAAAAAAAACAAATACCTACCTATTCTAGTTCCAACCAGGGTGCTTGTTCTATTTTTTGCTTTGATGGTATAGGGAAAACCAGGAACAAATGTTTAAGGGAGAGCACAATCTGCCATTTTCATAAGTTATTTATCTAACAGAATAGTAAGACTTTTTAAATATCAGACCAGATAAAAGTTTCTCTTCTCTTTAAGATTCAGTTTTGGCAGCTCTTTCTGCCCACAGGTCCTGTCCCTGTGCTTTAATAAAATCACCTTTTTGCATCAAAAAATAATTTAAAAAAAGATTCACTACAAATCAAACCACACTCAGATATCACCTCACACCAGTCAGAGTGGCCAAAATGAACAAATCAGGAGACTATAGATGCCGGAGAGGATGTGGAGAAACAGGAACCCTCTTGCACTGTTGGTGGGAATGCAAATTGGTGCAGCCACTCTGGAAAACAGTGTAGAGGTTCCTCAAAAAATTAAAAATATACCTACCCTATGACCCAGCAATAGCACTGCTAGGAATTTACCCAAGGGATACAGGAGTACTGACGCATAGGGGCACTTGTACCCCAATGTTTATAGCAGCACTCTCAACAATAGCCAAATTATGCAAAGAGCCTAAATGTCCATCAACTGATGAATGGATAAAGAAATTGTGGTTTATATACAGAATGGAGTACTATGTGCCAATGAGAAAGAATGAAATATGGCCCTTTGTAGCAACATGGATGGAACTGGAGAGTGTGATGCTAAGTGAAATAAGCCATACAGAGAAAGACAGATACCATATGTTTTCACTCTTATGTGGATCCTGAGAAACTTAACAGAA